GGGGGAAGAGAGGGCGAGGAAGAGGAGACCGCGAGGAAGAAGAGGAGAGGAAGAAAGGGTAGAGGAAGAGGAAGGAGAGAGGAAGGGGGAGGAGAAGGAGGGGAGAAAGAGGAGGAGGAGAGGAAGAGGAGGAGGAGAAGAGGAAAAGGAAAGGAGGGGAGAAGAAGAGATGAGAAATGAGCAAGCCTAGGGGCAGACTCATGCTTTACCATTTGCCTGTGATGTGGGACTCTGGGATACTGGCAAGAGAGCACACCAGGATTACAGAATCACAGACAAGATTCAAATGTTACAAAAGAGAGAGAGAGAGAGAGTGTGTGTGTGTGTGTGTGTGTTTTCAGCACAGAACAAGCACAGCTAAGGGAGGAGACCTCAGTCTGCTCTCCTCTCTGGACTCACATCTGAGGCCCTGTCACCCTGCGTGCCTCGGTTCCTCGTGGTCCCTAACAGCTCAGCCCTGGAGGATCATGGGGCCATGTGGGCTCAGCTTTCAGTAGTGATTAATCAATTTCCTTAACATTAAAAAAAATTACTTCCGGAAACAAAGGAGATTCACAAAACTAAAATGGAAAAAAAAAAAAGTCCTATAAATCACTTTTCCCTTCTGAACTCTGAAGGGTGTTTTGTCCCTAGGGGGTTCTATCATCATTTCTTTGTGGGTGACTAGATGTGGCCAGTCTTTAAGCAGCGGACCTTTTGAAAAACAAACAGAAAGCCCAACAAATGTTAGGAAACCTGCTAGCTCTTATGATTCTTCCATTTTAAAGACAGAAATTTCCTAGTCGTTGGTCTAGGAAAGTACCACAAACCAAGCAGATCTAGAAACGCCCCAACACTCAGCGTCACAAACAGAATCCTTCCATTTGATCAAGGGCCAGGAATGTCAGAATGGCTCCTCATGATTCACTACCTTTTTCTTCTCCATTGTGACTCAGCTTAGTAATAATTCATACGAATAAAATGAAGTTTTTGTTACCACTCCATATGAGATTTTCCTCAAATTTGGAAGGCATGTTTTGGATGGCCTGACTAAAATACCGATAGGCATGTAGGAAATTCCTTTGAGGAGACTTCCCCTGACCCACTGGGTACCTCTAGAGAAGCCAAGACCAAAACACAAGGAAAAGCCCATGAAAACACAAGGATTTCAAGTATGAGCAACAAATCCGAAGTTTTGGAAGGAGGTCTGTGCCTTATGCTGTTTCTCCCATAGGCAGTTGTGTGGGATGTCCTCCAAGACGGGCAGTGGCAGGACTTGTCTAAGAGCCCCCAATGGGGGAGGCCCGCTGGCATTCCTGTTTACCACCTACCCAGCACATTCTCCACCCCCTCTCCACACACTGCCAGACACACAGCGTACTCCAGTGAGGGTCTACTCACCACTGTATCTATGCCCTTCTGCTCCCACCACTTACCAAGTTCCTTCTCAAGGCTGTTGTCACCAGATAAACTCGTCAGGAAATTTAATTAAATATTGGGCAAAGCAGTGAAATATTAGTGAGAAAAAATGGGAAATGTTTCTGTAAAAACTAAAGTGAATGCTTTGCAAGGACCCAAATAAAAGTGAGTTACTGAAAAACACACGTGCACACACACACACACATACACAAACAAAATGAAACCACCACCACAAACTGTTCAACTGGTGTGGTGGTGTAGGCAAGGAAACTATGAAAAAAGAAAAAGGAAGGACTTCTGGTTTCAAAATGGCAGCGCAGAAGCAAGCTGGTTCCACTCACCCCACAGAAAACCAAAACAAAATATACAGCACTGACATTATCACTCAAAATATTCGAGAACACAAATATGACAATGAGACGGTTCCCAGGGCTACAGAGAAGTGAGAAAGGAAGAAAAAGAACAGGAAAAGGAAATAGTGAAAGTCCAGAAGGATTTTGCTCTCAAATACCTGTAACTTCTCATTTCACACTGAAGAAATAGAAACTGGAAATTAGGTGGTATGGTTAATGTAAAAAGGGCTCAGGAGGCTGGGCATGGTGGCTCACCCCTGTAATCCTAGCACTTTGGGAGACCGAGGCAGGTAGATCACCTGAGGTCAGAAGTTCAAGACCAGCCTGGCCAACACAGCAAAACCCCATGGCTACTAAAAATACAATCCTAGCTACTCAAGAGGCTGAGGTAGGAGAATTGCTTGAATCCGAGAGGCGGAGGTTGCGGTGAGCCAAGGTCATGCCACTGCACTCCAGCCTGGGCGACAAGAGCAAGATTCCGTCTCAAAAAAAAAAAAAAAAGGTGGGGGGCTCAGGAAACTGTAATCAGCCAGTACATACAGGCTTATACTAAAACATAATTGGTGTGTAAATATAAGGTATATGTTTTAAGTAAAAAAAAAAGTTTAAGATATGAACTTATAAGATGACATTTTTAAGTGACTCAGCAACTGCTGACCAAGTGCTGATAAAAAGGCTTCTACCGTAGCAGCAACAGACCAGTAGACATAGCAACACAGTTAAGTCTTCCTATTTGAGAAATCACTACTTCGTTAATAGAAAAAGTGAAAGTGAAAATAAAAAGTACATGGAATGGGACATTCAATTTTAAAAAATGTACATACAATGAAAATTCTATTCTGATTAAAAACATACCATGTTTATTTAATAACATAAGCAATTTAAAGTTGCTTAGACGTATGATTACTCTTGACCTAGTTCCTCTAGTTTTAATATACACCATGACACAAACAGATACATCTATGAAGAGGATAAAGAAGAGATGAGATTAAATGCAAAACCATCCATCATGAGGTGTTCTCACTACATCATCATTGCCTGCTGGTTCTGTTGTTCTTCAGTATCATGTGAAACTACACAGAGGACATCTCCAGCCACTGCATGATTAATTTATGGTTTTGAATTTGCTCTCATCTCTTCTTTATCTTCCTCACTGATTTATCTGCTTATGTCATGGTATATATTATTTCTCTACCATTTTAAATTTTATTTTTCAACAAATCAACATGAATCCATTGTTGTTTACTTTTTTCTTGTGAGAACCTTTGATGAGTCTGAACGCAGGTAAAACCTATGGTTTGTGTAAAGTCTTTCATCTTGAGAATTTCATTCCATGCCACTGCTCCATGGCAAACAGTATCTTTGATACTGATAACCTAAATATTCTGTAGGACCTATATTCATTTTTGTTTTCTTTTTTTCAGATGGACCTCAAACCCTTTTGTATAAGTAAAATATCTAAACATTTCAGAATCCTTTGTTTCATGGACTGAACCAAGAATATTATTGTTGGGGGACTGAGTGTGGTGGCTCACACCTGTAAACCTGGCACTTTGGGAGGCCAAAGTGGGCGAATGCTTAAGCCCAGGAGTTGGAGACCAGATGGGCAACATGGTAAAACCCTGCCTCTATGAAAAATGCAAAACAATTAGTTGGGTGTGGTGGCACACGCCTGTAGTCACAGCTACTTGGGAGGCTGAGGTGGGAGGATCACCTGAGCCCAGAGATGCTGAGGCTCCAGTGATCTGTGATTGTGCCACTGCACTCCAGCCTGGGTGACAGAGTGACCCCCTCATCTCAAAAAAAAAAAAAAAAAAAAAAAAAGAGTATTATTTTTGGAAGGCCATGAGGCTTGTGGAAGGACAAAAGCTAGGCCTTTAAATTCCTGACCATTGGCCGGGCGCGGTGGCTCACGCCTGTAATCTCAGCACTTTGGGAGGCCGAGGCGGGCGGATCACGAGGTCAGGAGATCGAGACCATCCTGGCTAACACAGTGAAACCCTATCTCTACTAAAAGTACAAAAAATTAGCCAGGCGTGGTGGCAGGCACCTGTAGTCCCAGCTACTTGGGAGGCAGAGGCAAGAGAATGGCATGAATCCAGGAGGCGGGGCTTGCAGTGAGCCGAGATCAGGCTGCTGCACTCCGGCCTGGGCGACAGAGCGAGACTCTGTCTTGAAAAAAAAAAAGAACGAAAAAATTCCTGACCATTAAGATGTAAAGGACAGTTACCTAGAAAGATTAAGGAGATTCTCAAACAAATTTATTCTTCAAGTGTTTCTTTAATGAAGCTACAATTAATGACAAAAACAACCTTCGGTCAAGTCCATCCATGGTGACTCTTGAGAGATACAGTAAACTGATAGAGACTAAACTTTTTAAAAAAAGTTATACTGATCTGCCAATCACAATGCGTGGCAATTCTTAAGTGGCAGCAGAGTGGTCTCCATGGGCCTGTGCAGCTGCACAAGGCCTTATGCTCTGCAGAGCTCCACGCTGGGTTAAATGCTTTATTGTCATCGTGAAATTCTTATTAATTTTTGCAAAAGAGGGAAATTTTTCATTTTCACTGGGCTATGCCAGTTATGTCACCAGTCCTGAAGGCATGGGCAGCTCTTAGGAGCCCTACTCTGGGAACTTTCCCCATTGAGGCTATAATCTAGCACTACCATTTTCGGAAGTAACATCTTATGAGTTGGACATTTTTCAATATTCCAGAAGTGTTTGCTAATCAGATTTTCTCTACTAATTTTCTCTACTACAACTCAGTAGAACTGAGCTGTAGAAGTCATCCACTTTGCTTCTGAAATCCCAATCCTGTGACATGTTTTCCTATATTCAAGTCACCCACCACTCGCTGCGAAACACCGACTTTCTGATGGAAAACTGGGGCCTGTCCTTTGCGGATGGGTCTACTGATTGTACC